GCAGGGGGGACGGGAGGGCCCCCCGGCCCGGCCCCGCACGGCCGAGACGCAGACAGAGACGCAGCGGGGACGAGAGGACACGGCCACCCGGCCCTGTACAACCGTCCCAGGGGTTGCCCCTGAGTGAGCGAGGCGGAGGGGCCACAGTGACAGGAAGGCCCACAGGCACAGCGGACTCGGCCGACGAGAGATGGCCCTGTAGCAAGTCCCCTGGACACCAAGGGTGCGGCCCTGAGCTGTCAGGGCTGGTGCGGACGGTGATGGCGGCGAGGGGACCTGCTGGGCGCTGCCTGTGTCCCCCAACGGGAGAACACTTGAACCCAAAGGAGGCCCGAGCCCCGGCCCCGGTCTGCCCGAATGGAACGGCCGGTGGGAGCCAGCTGCAGGGGCCCAGGGCAGGCAGCGGGGAAGAGCCGAGGTGCCCAGGGACCAGCCATGGGTCCCATCGGGGCTGTGCCCCGCTCCGTCACTGTCACCCACGCAGTCGGCTTGGAGCCTAGTCCAGGACCCAGCCGCTTAAACTCGCACTGGGCACACGTGCGTGCGGGCCCCAAATCCTGAGACAGGCATGGAGAAGACGGCCCCCGGGCGGCCTCTCACTCTGTGCCTCTGGTGAGGACACAGGCCCTAGGGCACACAGCAGCACCCCGTGTCCCCCACGAGCAGGACGGACCGAATGTGGGCTCCCCGCGGGCCACGTGCGCCAGCAAGGCCAGAAGCCAGCGGGAGGCTCCCGGCCTGTCAGTGCACCCATGTCCAATCCTGATCCAGAGGAACTCCGCACACCTGGCTGAGCGCCTACACCCTGCTGGGCTCCACACACCCAGCTGAGCGCCCCACACCCTGCAGGGCTCCGCACACCCGGCTGAGCGCCCCACACCCTGCTGGGCTCCGCACACCCGTCTGAGCGCCATGCCTGTCGGCAGGAGCACTGATCACTGTCCAAGCGCCATGTCCGAGGGCCCTGTGCCCGTCAACTGGAGCACTGAGTGCCGTCCGAGCGCCGTGCCGTCTGAGCCCTGTGCCCAAGGGCCCTGCGCCCATCGGTGGGAACACTGGTCGCTGTCCGAGCGCCATGTGCGAGCCCCGTGCCCGAGGGCCCTGTGCCCATCAGTGGAAGCACTGAGTGCTATCTGAGGGCCGTGTCCGAGGGCCCCACGCCCGTCAGCGGGAGCACTGAGCGCTGTCCGAGAGCCGGGTCCGAGCACCACGCCCGAGGGCCCCGCGCCCGTCGGCGGGAGCACTGAGCGCTGTCCGAGGGCCAGGCCGTCTTAGCGCCATGCCTCAGTACTGATGTGTCAGAGCCACTGCGACCAAGCAGGCCCTGGGGCAGCGCGGACCGGCTGTCCTCACCGCCTGGCTGGCAGACTGCCCTCTGCCGCTCCTCGGGCCGCTCTCCTCACACTGAGCTTGGCAGCGGCACGTCAGCCTCACGGGCAGGCGGAACCCCCGTGTACCGGTGCCCGTGACAGCCGTGAGTCCTGGGGCCCAGGACGCAGGGATTCAGGTACACCGAGCTCCAGTCTGCCTCCCGGCTCCACGGAGGGACAGCAGCAGGAGCAGCCAGGACCCCGGGGCCGTCCCTGGGGCGCCCCTTCACACTCAGCACGCCCTGCTGCCGAGGAGACTCCACCAGGGACGGACTATGGCCCCGCATGGCAGCCACCGCCGGGGCGAGCACGTGCAGGGGGAGGGCTCCCGGGCCGACCGCGGACCAGCCCCACACAGAGCCCCACCTCGAAAGGCTCAGTGCAGCAGCACCCCGGGGCCAAGCACTGTGCCAACAGCTTTGCTACTGAGCGGGGGCCTCAGTCTGAGGAGTGGGTGAGCAGTAGAGGTGTACCCCTGCTCCAGGTCCACTGCCGTCTCCACCCCCTCCTCCAGGAAGCCCCCAGGCCGGGCCTGACCCTGAGGCGGGTATGTAGGCACCTCTAGTTCCTGGGGCAGTTCTGGGGGGACCCAGGGAGATTTCTGTGACCTGACAGGCCCCCAACTGGCCAGCGACAACTTCCTCAGGCACGGGGGTGGGGGGTCCACGCAGGGACGTGGCGGCCCAGCACACCCAACTGGGGGCTGAGCGCATCTGCCCTGTTCCTCCAGTCAGACCCCACCCGACAGGAAAGCGCAGCTCCCAGAAGGCTCGGGGCGTGTGGGACTTGGGAACAGCCACGGACACGCTGCCTCGGCCTCCCGGGGGCCCCGCAGACTCTGCCACAGGCCACGGGGCTTCCCAAGGTGACCGCCAGGCCCCCTGCCCACGCCCCCGCCCCAGGAGCCCCAGACACGCTGTGCGCCCACAGCTAGTCCTGGGCCCCGCTGGCTCCCACGCCCCGCCGAGCCTCAGCTTCCCGAGTGGATGAACCCCCAGGCCCAGGAGGGACACGGGCCCCCAAGCTGCCTGCGGCCCCGCCCGGCACCCCCAGCCCCGGGACCCGACCGCGGCCTACCTGAGCCTCCGAACTGCGCGCTGGCCAGCGAGGCGGGCCGGCCCTTGGCGTTGGCCACAGGCAGCGGGAACATCTGCAGAAACAAGAGCGGGGTGAGCGGGTGGCGCCAGGACGCCCAGGGCACGCCGCATGCCCGCCTGGAGGGGGCGGCCACAGTGCAGTGCTCAGACGAGAGCCCACACCCTCGCGTCTCCGCTTCAGAGATCTCTGGGGCTTGCTAGGACACCCGAGTCCTCAAGGTGACCTGAAGCGGGAAGCCCCGGTGGCAGGGAGGGCCCAGGCCTGGGGTAGGATCACCACAGCCTGGGAGGAGCAGAGGGGACACGAGGCTCAGAGTGCAGGCGGGGGGGTGGGGGTGGGTGCAGGCAGAAAGCCGCACACAGCAGGAAGGGTCCCAGGGCACTCGGGGTGGGGCGCCACCCTGCCCCAGCCCCCATCGCCCAGGCTCCCCGTCCCTGTCCCTGTCCCCAGGGCGCTAAGTCCCTGCAGATTAACAGCTTAGCAGCCTCAACCAGAACGCCATCCACAGACCTGTGCCCTGGACGAGAGAACTGACCCAGCCCTGCCCCGGGGGCCGGAACCACAGGCCTAGTCCCCAGGCTCCCTGCAGCTGGGCAGCCCGGCAGGCTGGACAGCCAGGCACCGGGACTCAGGGCTGCCTCGGCTGGGCGGGGTCTCCAGGGCCACACCCGCCCTCCTGCAGGCTGAGCTGGCGGGAGCCCTGTTCTCCCGGGTGGAGAGACGGAGGCCGGCCCCGGGGGGAGCCACCGACCAGGCCACGTCTCCATCCCACCCGGGCACCGGGGCTCCGTGCTGACGTGGCGCCTGCCATGAGATGTGCTGGCTGGGGGCACA